GCAGCACTGCACTAGTATCGTAGTGTTGAGGATTTTTTTTTCAGCCTGGCGGAATAATCTGTTTTGAAAAATTGCAGCCATTTTGATTGAATACATTTAAAAAAAAACAAAAATTTGGGTCGTAGATAAAATTTTGTATATCTCACGTATGGTAAGGCTCATTACAGCACTCGTGTAGTTACTACTACATTCGGTCTACGACCTCATCGTGTTATTTCCCACTCGTTACTGTAATGAAGCTCATACCCTTTGTAGTCACGACGAGGTCGTAGACCGAGTCGTTCTAATCACATGAGTTTTGTAGTCATGTTTAAACATACGTGATGTACAACGTTTTATCTACAAAGCGAAAAATAGGTTTAACTTTGAAATTTGTCAAATCACCAAAAATAGTTTTGTTATAGCTTCATATCGTTGCCATAAGACCACTACTCTGTCCAACCAACCTACGGAGTGTCAAACAACAAAACCTTCAAAAAGGTTCATTGTTCATTACTATTGGTCATTTATGAGCCCGTTTATTTACACTGTAGAGTGATGTTTTGTAGGATTTTGAAATAAATAAATGGCATAAATCGGTGTTCAGTGTAAACCTGACCGCCATTTTGACTCTGTCATACTCGCCGTAGGTTGGTTGGACAGACTTTAGTTGTGTTATGAATTCATAACCAATCCATAACACCACTGGTTGAGTTCAGTGTTATGCAATGAACTATAACCAAAAACTGGAATGCTAACACATAAGGACGAACTTGAAGTCTAGTGCGGCTGCTGCGGAGGGGATACCTGTTTTTGTCGCACTCATTATGTTAAATGGCGGAAATTGCTTCCAACACGTATTCCAATTGATGAAACCTGTGAAGGGAAATATGACAAAACTTTCGAAAACCTCATATGTCAGCAAGCAACAGAAAAAAACAACATTCCCCCTTGTTGCATCTATCTTTCATGGCTACATTTTTTTGGCAGATATGGCAATGTGTGCGCATTCCAGTTTTTAACTATAGTTCATTGGGCTTGTGTTGCCAAGAAAGTTACTAAATTTTTGACTTGGGGAATTATCTTTCAAAAAAAACAGATTTTAACTATTTTTTTATCATCCTAAAGCCTAGTACTCATAACTGCGAAATTCGCAATTTTTTGATATTGCTTCGATAATTTGACGTTTAATTCACGCATAAAACGTCAATTTGTCGAAGCAATGTCAAAAAATTGCGAATTTCGCAGTTATGAGTACTAGGCTGCGACAAAAATTGAAAATGAATCAGGATATAGGCTTTGAACCTAAAGTTCAGAGTCGTTCGGGTACTCGACTCTAGAACAGGCAACGAAAATTGTTCTGACTCAATGCAAACACAAACCATCCCTGATTCGCTTCTTGCTTTAGGGCGGGTATTATAAAACTGCTTTGACAGTTAACTTAAAGTTAACTTTTTGAATTACATGTAATTCCAGAAGTTAACTTTAAGTTAATTCTCAAAGTAGTTTTATAATACCCGCCCTTACTCTGGATCACCACTTTCCAAGGATAATACGCACTACTAAGGATTGCTTATCGGCCTCGTTTCTGGTAATCGCCGCGATATTGATGGTAAATTTACTATTTTCGACGTCATTTACTAGTCGTCAGCTATTCGCACCAGCGGTCGATGTTTAGAATTGAAATTTATGATGAAAAATATTATTTAATTTTGATTAACATAATAGGCAAAGAGGAAGATGGAAACAAGAACTAAAAAAGAGTTGTTAAAATGTTAATTAATGTAGTAAAACCTTAGATTAGGGAGGGGAGAGGATACCGCGCACTGGTTTAACGCAATGCTGGGTTTTGTTACATCAATTGACAGGCCGCCATTTTATTTGTGGCAAACAAGCTTCTGTGGCAGTGTTGATATTTTGTGATTTTGTGACTAAAAAGTTTTAATATTTGACTAAATTTTGTGCTAATAGACATGGTGAATTGTTGTGCTTTTCAGTGTAAAAGTCGTAGCAATGCATAATAAAACCATCATTATACAGGCGCTTTTTTATTTTTGGGGACAGATTTTATACATGCCCTATAAGTATCATATTATACTGTGTGTAAGCAAATTACGGGCCTAAATATAATTCGCTATTTTAAATGTTTCCATTGAAAAATAAATAATTTTGTTAATTCGATCTGTCAAATCCTTTGAATCTACCAGTGGCGTAGACCATTTAAATACTCGATTTTAATTTAAAAAAAGTCCTAAAAACTAATTAAGAGCGAATAAACTGATTATTTCCTAATTTACGCCCCAAAATACGTATATCCTGAAAAAATCGTAAATTTTGGCGTGGTGATCAACCATTTAGACATTTACCGTTTTAACTACGTATAATTTTGTGATACGCCACTGGCCTAAACGGTCTTGGGCCAGCTGGTAACACGCAGGCTTGACGGATTACCAGTCCTCTCTCTTTTCTTGTCTAAGAGTAAAACCAAGTAAGCATGAAGCAAAAGTCCGCGGAATTATAACCTGTGCTGCAAGCACCCTACGTCAAGGCGAGAAATCAAGGTTGTTTGAGAGAGGTAGATTGTCTGAAAACTTTTATGACGTTATCTGGGGTGCCTCAACATAATGCAAATCTTCATAAGGCACCCTAGATGACGTCATCAAGTTACCCATTATCAGAAAACCTACCTATTAACTTTAGGAACGTTGACAAGAAATGACATGCTGCTACGTCACACTGGTTCTTTGGCATGGCTTGGATTTGATCTACACTGGCCCCGAATAGGGCCATTATTTATTATTTATTAATCAAATGATAAAAGGCCACTTCGATTTTTTATCTTTCTTTTAGGGCCGAATTTATAGTCGTTCCTTGGGTTTTCCTTGAAGGTCGTGAGTTTAAAATGGACACTTGCTACTATTTGACAAGTTAGTCATGTCATTTCTAAACGTTCTTAAGGTCTGAGGAAACCTCAAGCAGCGACTATAAATTCGGCCCTTATTGAACGCAATAAATTTGCCAGATTTTTATTGATACATGTCGATATGACAAATTCGTATCGATAAGCACCTTCATCGCAGGTGTATCGATAGTCCTCCTCCAAGGTTAAAAGGTAGGTTGCCCGGTTGGGACTCTGTAACAAATAGCGTTCAATATGTCTATCTCTCTCTATTGACATCCAATCTCTATTGATTTTGTTAAAGGAGAAAAAGACAGAAATACCATAGCGAGTGGAATAACGGTCACTATTCGTTACAGGCAATGAACTATAGCTAAAAACTGGAATGCGCACACATTGCCATATCTGCCAAAAAAATGAAACCATGAAAGACAGATGCCACAAGGGGGAATGTTGTAGGGAGAACAAACTATCGATAGGAATATCGATACTATCGATATTTTTTTAATTTTCGATAGTATCGATAGTTCTGTAGCAATATCGATAGTTCCAAAGTAGCCAAAGGTGAATGAAGACGTCTATAAATTGAGGGAAATATAAATAAATCTGTAGCTGTTTTGAGAAATCTGTAATTATTTTTTTGAGGTAGACATGCAAAATAGGTTCGTTTTTTTTATAGGTTAGAGTAGAGCCTAGTTTACGTTGTATTTAGAGTTTTTGAGTCTTTTTTTCTCAAATAAAAGAATAAGCCTTTATTTTTTAATTAATTTATACCAGTTATACCAGAGCAAACTATCGATAGTACAATCGATAGTTATTATCGATGGATAAGCCATTTTATCGATATCACTATCGATAGTTTTTTTTCGATAGTTTGTCAACCCTAGAATGTTGTTTTTTCTGTTGCTCGCGTTGACGTTTTCGAAAGTTTTGTCATATTTCCCTTCACAGGTTTCGTCAATTGGAATACGTGTTGGAAGCAATTTTCGCCATTTAACATAATGAGTGCGACAAAACAGGTATCCCCTCCGCAGCAGCCGCACTAGGCTTCACGTTCGTCCTTATGTGTTCGCATTCCAGTTTTTGGTTATAGCAACGGTTATAATTCATTGGTTACAGAGGTCACCCTTGATAACTTCTATGACGTCATCTGTGTCTGTATTCTCGAAACGGGGGAGCAGCGTTCCCACGGAAAACGAGTGTTCCGTCTTTGTTACTTATATTACCAGTTGCATATCATTGAGAAAGACGAAACACTCGTTCTCGAGAGGGGCTGCGTTCAAAAACGGCTAAAGCCAAGCCAAAATTGGCATATTGCGTTCAAGTTCGGCTCCAGCGTGCCAAAAACGGTTGGCTTTACACGTTCAGAATCGGCCGCGGTAAAGTAACTTTTGGAGGTGTTTTTAACTGAGTCTGGAAATGGTTATACAAATTTTGATTGGATGAGACTAAATTCAATATGGCGTGGCGGCCAGCAAGTTAGTTTTGAATATGTGTTTTCATGCATATTTCAATTATTTTGCTTGCAGCTTTGATTTTGATTATTCAATAAAATATTTGTAGGTAGGTAAGGGCCGAATTTATAGTCGCTCCTTGAGGTTTCCTTGGACCTTAAGGAAACCTTGAACGTTTAGAATTGACATGACTAACTTGTCAAATAATACCAAGTGTCCATTCTGAACTCACGACCTTTAAGGCAGACTCAAGGAATGACTATAAATTCGGCCCTAAACTATTGAGTTGGGCAGAAACTAGATATTTTTGTGTGTTTTTTCGTCCATGTGTGGACGCCACGTCATCTTGAATGTCACGTGGTTTGGATTGCCTAATGGAGAAACGGTATTTGGCGTTCCAATATTCACACCAGATTTGGCATTCAGGTAGGGTAGAAGGGGAAAAGTAGGTTTTGGCATTAGCATTGCCATCTTTGAACGCACTCCTGGGAACGCTGCTCCCCTATTTCAAGAATAAGGACTCTGGGGTGTTTAAACCTAATGCAAATCTCCAAACACCCTAGATAACGTCATCTGTATCCCATTCAATGGTTTCCCATTACTGGACAACCTATTAATTGGAGCCTTTTGTCCTCCTCTTAAGTTGTGGATTAATGAAAATCGATAATTTCAAACACATCACACATTTATAGTTTATTTCAGAAGAAACTTTATTTACAATTTAACTAAAAACCATATAAAATCAAATAGTATTGCTCTCAAAATCGGCAACAAAATAATAATTACTCTCAATTTGTGTTTATTATTGAAAAATAGTTATTTTCAAGACAACAACTCCATACATTTTCTATTCAACGAGACTAAAAAAAAGACAAGGATTATTTTCTAGTAAAAAAAAAAAAGGCTTTTTTTCTTGAGGCAACTTCTAAAAGCTATAAATAATTAAAATTGAAGCAAATGTGCCAATGTCATATACCTAAATATATGAATTACACAGCAGAAGGGCCTATGAAACAAAATAAAAATTCAGTATCAACCAACAATTTTTTTTTTTTGAACAAAATAATACTTCCAAGAAAAATCTTTTTTTTTTACAAGAAAATAAATAAAATCCTTGTGACTAGGAGCTTCTAGAAGCAAAACTTTTTACTCCACATCATCTTCTTGCAAAGAGGAATTTTGTGCTTTCATCAGCCTGGGCGCTACCGCTGGCAATCTTTTAATTAACAAATGGAACACTTCAGGTTGTAGTGTTTGTTGGAGCACCTAAAAAAAAATCATCAAGAACGAAAATGCAATTAAATAATTCTCACCTGTAAGAGATCATTGGGTTGTCCGCACACAGCAACGGCATTACCCAAATGATCAACCCCGTTTTCGAGATCTCCTGCAGCCAACAATTCTTCACCTAGTTGAATTTCTTGCATGAAGAATTTCTGAACAGCTTCGTGGTCTTTCATATCCGGAAAAACAGTTCGACATTTTTTACCCGAACTGGCTGCCGCCTTTTGTGCTTTACGACCTAAAACAATCAAAAAAAAATGGAGGAGGCCCACATTTGAAATTAACCTCAAAAACTTACGTTCCCTCAGTTTCTTTTTGAAATCCGGATCGATATGCCGTTTCTTATCGAAATAAATACAGTAGCCGAGAAATAGGGTTGCGGAGACGCCAGCGCACAGCCCCAAAACGGTCTTGGGGGACATCATTTCACTTTATTTTGGGGTTTTCGAAATTAATTGTTATCAACCCCTTCGGTCCATCATGCACCCAACACCAAAAAGTGTCACTGTCAGATTGTCAATTTTCAAAACGCTGTCATTCATGATTTACTCCGTCCACTTTGTTTGTAAGTAAGTAGAGTGACTCCGCTTATTTTGCTATACGGAGTAGGGTAAATGGAGCTTGCTCCAAAACATTAAAAACTTGGCTTAAAGTTAAGAGACTGGTAATTTTTCAGTAATTTTTCGTCTTTTTACAAAATACTTGTTAATTTAGAGTACTCGAGTAGAGTAGACTGTTCTGCGGCTAGATGTCGCCACCAAAAATTTTGCCATCGAACAACAGTGACGTTTTAGGTTGTCATGTCCTTGGAAAACGAAAACAACAAAATCTTTTCATCAAACATCTACAAAAATTCTTCTAACTAAATTTTGAGAAATTACTAAAAAAAAAATCATATAAGTTTAATGAAAATCGTTAAATAAAGTTATTCAAATACCCAAGCACGTTTTCAATGTCGATAGTTTATTAATAGAGTGCGTGTTTATTTTAGAAAGCTGGTCTAACCTCAAGGGCAACCTTTTTGTTTTCGTAAGTAAATTTTTAAAATTCTAAACTTTTTTACAAATTTTTGATATTATAAATGATTCAATTATTCCTTTTAAAATCTCACCAATTTCACCCCAAACCAAACCCCATTCAGCTATAGACTTTTGGGGTCAGTCATATTTGTAGAAAGTATTTTGCATCAAATTCACTAGCCAATTTAGTAGGGCCGGTATAACGGAGTGTTTGTTAGTAAACAATCAGGCCTATAATGTATCATTTTCTGTTATTTCAACTGCAACGTTAAGTTATCCGTCACTGTTTATTCTACACATAAAAATAGAAACAGGTAGGTATAGATTTTGAGCTATAACACAATTATTAAAATAACAGGAAAGGATACATCATAAGCTGCCTGAATATCTGAGGGATTTTTCACCTTGTACAAATTACTGGTTAATATATGTCAATACCAGGTAAATACTAGTCAATAGTGTCAATACTATGTAATACCTACTTGTTAATTATGTAGGTAATATATGTCAATAGTTGTAGATATCTAGGCAATATTATGTTAATGTCATTGGTTAATACCCATTAATAACATGTAAATACCTGTGGATATATCAATACCTAGAATTTTGGCATAACAAATGATTGATTGATTTTAGTCTGTCAATAACATGGCTATACCTGGTAATATGTGATAATATGTACTAGGGAAATACTTGGCAATATGTGGAAATATTTTGTTAATACATAGAAATAGTTGGCAACAACTTGTTATTAGGTACATAGAAATATCTGTTAATCGGTGTACAAATTTGGTTAGGTGAAAAACCCCTGGACAATATCATTAGAATGTGCTACACAATAATAATGTTATAAGTATTACCATTGATACTTTCTATTCTAAGGTGTGACTGGTGTGAATGAAATTTTTCTTTCATAAGAATAAAATGAGATTTTACATTATTTCTTTCTCAATTTGGTGTACTGGGTGATCAGAAAGATTTCAATGATGTTAGTTACAAGTATACAGAGTGTATCATAAAAGCGAGCGTAAAAGTGTGGCGAAGTAAAGTTATACTTTTTTAAATGGAAAATCCAAAATTCCTTATATTGTTATCCCATTGGATTAGCCTTTCAAACCTGATTCCAAATATACTAGGTTTTTTAAGTTTATTCCTTATGGTCCAGAAGAAAATAGGACAAAAGGGGGTGGAATAATTGTATATTTCATTAAAAAAGGTGAAGTATAGAAACCACCAGCAAAATATAAAGGTAATCATTCATATAAAAAATCCATTTTATCTTTTTAAAATGAGATATTCAGAGGCTAGACTATGGGAAATAAACCTAAAAAAACCTAGTACCTATATTTGGAATCAGGTTTGAGAGGGTAATTCAATGGAACAATAATATACAGGGTTTTCCATTTAAAAAAGTATATCTTTGCTTTGCCACATATTTGGGACACACCCTATATACTTGTAACTAACATCATTGAAAACTTTCTGATATTACCTACAACTTTCACATTTGACATTTCTAGGTATCTCTTCAAACAGGTGAGATAGGTGTGGGTGCAAAATCTAAACAATCAGCCAATACCTATAGGTATCTTGGGAAAAAAACAGACATTTTTATTTCAGAATAATTTAGTGTATGGAGTTTGGGGGGTCCCCAATGATCATTTAGACACAACATAAGAAAAATTGAAATTTCAAAATTATTTTAGTACTGAGGTAGCTACCTTAACCTTATGATTTAGATTTTGAAATACTTTGGAAGGTCATAACTTTTTTTCCATTATAGATGGGAACCTGAAATTTTCAGTGATTCTTATCCCAGTAGAGGACTACAATCCCTAAAAATATCAGCTCATTTGGACCTATAGTTCCAGAAATACAATTGTGTTAAGGAATTCGGGGTGATTTATCAATTTTTCAATTTTTCTGAGTGCCTTTTTTCATAGAATCCAGTTCCAAATCTCAAAATAATTTAATGTATGGAGTTTGGGGGATCCAAAAAATCATTAGACCACCAAATCTCAACAAAAAAAATTTGAAATTTTATCATTTTAGTGAGAAGGTACTACCAAGGGGTGGTTAACTAGTCAAAATCTGTGTACAAGTTGGTCGAAATCCCAGAAAATCTCATAAGATCCACTCAAAATCCCTAATCTTTGAAATCCTCGAAAATTTAACAAAATCTCTTGAAATTGCATAAAATCCTACAAAATCTAACAAAATCTCATTAAAACCAAAAAAATCCTGCAAAATCTCATAAAATCATTAACATTCCTAAAAAATATTTCCTTTGAAATTCCCAAAAATCATTTGGAATCCCCAAAAATCTCTCAGAATTCCATAATTTAGTGGAATTTCGAGGAATTTCAGTAGAATAATTATGTTTTTCTGAAAAAGGAATTATGTGAAATTTTTTCGAAGCTTCCATAGAATTCACATTAAATTTTAATTCCTCTTGAATTACATGAAATGTCAGTGAAATTACGTTCGAATTACACAAAATCCTAAACATGGAGGAATTCTTAACAATTATATGAAATTACACCGAAATTCCCAACATGAAATTTCAGTTCTTGCTAAATTTTAGTAAAATTCCAGAAAATTCTACAAGTGGAATGCCGAGGAATTTCCGGCTAAAAACATGGAATTTCGGTGATATTCCGAAAAATTCCCATGCAATTTCAATATATTTTGGTGAATTTTCAAGAAATTACTTGAAGTTTCATTAATATTCCCAGAAACTCCTGGCTATTAAAAGAGAATTTCAGTGAAATTCCGAAAAATTCTTATGAAAATAAATTAAATTTTGTAAAATTCCTTGAAGTTTCATTGGACTTTTGAGGAATCTTCGACTATGAACGTGGAATTTCAAAATATTCTCATAAAATTTTAGTGAATTCCGTGGAATTTTTGAGAAATTACATGAAATGTCAATGAAATTCCGAAGAATTTTATGAAAATTTTGTGAAATTCCAGGATATTTCAGTGGTAAAATTTTGAGTTGAAATTCCATAGAATCTTATGTTGAAATTTAGAAAAGTATTATGAAATCGTATAGTAAAATTTCTAGGAATTTACGTTTTTCCATTCAAATTTATCGCTTGAATGGAATATAAAATCTTCTGGTGAAATTCTAAGGAATTTCTATGGAATTGACTTAAATTTTCACGGAATTCCTATAGAATAACTTGAAATTTTACTGGAATTCCGAAGAATTTCATGAAATCTTATATTGTAATTCCAAAGAAAAAAAAATTCCAAGAATCCTAGTTCTTATTACATGAAATTTCAGTGGAATTTCGATCGAATTACATGAAATCCTGGAGGAATTCTAAACTATTACATGGAATTACACCGGAATTCTCAACATGAAATTTCAGTGCTTGTTAAATTACATAAAGAATTTTAAAAAAGTTTCAAAAAATTACATGAATTCCGAGGAATTTTCGTCGAATTATCCGATGCAAATTGCATGGAATTCCAAGGAATTGTCAGGGAATTACATGAAATTTAAGAGGAATTTTGAACAACTCTTATCGTTTCATAAGAAATTTCAGTGAAATTCCGAAAAATCCTAATGTAATTACATGAAGTTTTATTTTTATTCTAAGGAATTCTGTTAAAAACATGCCATTTAAGTGAAATAAAAATTCCCATGGAATTACTGAATTTTAGTGAAATTAGAGAAAATTTCACAAGTGGAATTCCGAGGAATTTCCGCCTAAAAACTTGGAATTTCAGTGAAACTTGGAAAAATTACCATGTAATGATATAAAATTTCAATATATTTCGAAGGAATTTCGGTGAATTTTCAAGAAATTACTTGAAGTTTCATTAATATTCCCAGAAATTCCTAACTATTGAAAGAAAATTTCAGTGAAATTCCAAAAAATTCTTATGGAAATAAATGAAATTTTGAAGTTTCATTGGAATTTCGCGAAATTTTCGACTAAAAACGCGGAATTTCAGTGAAATTTCAAAAAATTTTCATATAATTTTAGTGAAAGTCCGAGGAAAAGAAATTACAGGAAATGTCAGTGAAGTGGTAAATGGTTCTGGGGAATTTCAGTAAAGTTTTAAAAAAGTTATGGAATTTGGAATTTCTATAGAATTTGGAGAATTTCAGTGGTACATATTTCGAAAAAAAAAGAAAAATTATGAAATATTTGCAGAATTTCCATTAAATTATATATAATTTCACTTTGTGTCGACTTACATAATATTTCGATGAAATGTCGAGTAAAATTCCAAGGAATTTTCGTCGAATTACATACATAGAATTCCTTGAAATCGTATTGTGGAATTCCAGTGAAATAACATCGAATCCGAAGAATTCCCTGGGAATTAAACAGAATTTCCATGGAACCATGAAAAATGTCGGCGGAATTCCGAAGAATTGAATTAAATTTTAGAGAAATTCTGAGTAATTTCTGTTGAATTACATAAAATTTTAGTGAAATTCCGAGAAATTTTTGTACACGAATTCCATTGAATTTTATGGTGGAATTCCGTGGAATCATGGTGAAATTCGGAAAAGTATTATGAAATCTTTATGGTAAAATTTCTAGGACTTTCTGTTTTTCCATTCAAATTTGTCATTTGAATGGAATTTCGAGGAATTCCATAAAATCTTCTAGTGAAATTTAAAGGAATTTCTATGGAATTAACAAAAATTTTGGCAGAATTCTCATGGAATAATTTGAAATTTAGTGGAATGCCAAAGAATTTCATGGAATCTCATAAGTAGTGTAATTCCGAGGAATTTTTGTCCAACAATATGATGAATTCCATTGAATTTTATGGTGGAATTGCATAGAATCATATGATGAAATTCGGAAAAGTATTATGAAATCCTATAGTAAAAAAAAAAAAAAAAAAAAAAAAAAAAAAAAAAAAAAAAAAAAAAAAAAAAAAAAAAAAAAAAAATTTTTAAAACCCTTAAAATGCTCCAGAATCACCTAAAATTTTGAAAATCTAAAATCTTCTGAACTCCTGTAAAATCGTGTAAAGATTTTCAAAATTTCTCAAAACCCTACAAAATTAATTAAGATTTAAAATATGTATTCATTATTTTATAGAGTTAACTAAACCTCGGAGCGGTTGATTGGTCGAATTGTACAAGTCCAGAAAAACTTGTAAGATATATTTAAAATCCTTGTAAATCTTCAAAAATTTAACAAAACCTCACAAAATCCCTTAAAAATCACTTGAAATCGCATAAAATTTCACAAAATCACACAAAATTTTATTAGAACAGAAAAAAATCCGGCGCAAAATCTTATAAAATCATTAATATGTATTCGTAAAAAAAATTCCTTCAAAATTTCCAAAAATCCTTTGGGTTTCCCAAAAATCCGTTAAAATCTCTAAAAATCCTTTAGGATCTCTAAAAACCCTTCTAACTTCCCTAAAATGAATGTTCCAAAATCACCTAAAATCTGTGCACCTACATATTTTAAGCAGTTAACCACCCCTCGGTAGCTACCTTATGATTTAGATTTTGGAAAACTTTGAAAGGTCTTAATTTTTTTTTTTTTATTAAAGAACCTAAAATTTTCAGCGATTCTCATTATCCCAGTAGAGGACTACAATCCCTGCAAATTTGAGCTCATATTTCTAATAAAATTTAAAAAATCGCAGTGTCAGTAAAATATTGCTGCATGAAAACATCACCTTTTTTTCCAGTTTGTATTTGTATGGGAATCCTGACCATTTAGAATAAGGCTGGAAATGGCCGCAGCTGACGATGACGACTCAAGATCCAGAATAGAAGACACTTCAGAAGACTCAGACTCAATGGATTCCGAATCGGATCATTACGGAGAACATTTTCTCGTGGTGCTACGCAATCTTATAAGTGGGTGAGTTCAGTCAAACATCATCTAGACAAAAATGTTGCAAAGTTTTTTTTCCAAATGAGAAAATTAATGTACTATCCTATAATTCTATTGGTTGGCAGTTAGATAACTGGCTGGTCAATGGAATTACAGCTCAGATTGCATACCTGAAGAAAATGCGTTTGAACATACATAGTATTGACTTTTTTAGTGGCCAATTGCTGTTACATGGTGGCGATGACGATGATAATTATGATAGTTTAGTAAGAACCAGACCTCCTAAAATTAAAGCGAAACCTTTGACTAAAATACTCGATGTAAGATTTTTATTTTGTCAGTTCTATAGAGGGTGAAAACAATTATATTGTTTTTTTTTTTATGTACAGAAAAGTGAATATTCTCAAGTAACCAAACAAGCCTGTGGACTACTGGACCTCACAAATAGAAACCGCAATGTCAATAATGTTACTTCATTGCTGACAAAACGAGAAAGAGGCCTTTTTCAAGGCAGTAAGTTTTCGAGGGGCGTAAAATCAAAAATTGCAAATTGTTATATACCCAGCGAAATGTGCGGTGGCATCGACCATAATCCCGGAAAAGTTTTCTGCGGAATATTTTCAAAGGACGGCAACACGTTTCTGACAGCAGCTCAAGGTAATTTATGACATTTCGGAAAAAAATTAACATTTTGGCAACATCGTTTTTCGACCAACTACAATTCAAAATTATATCGATTTGTATGTTGACACATTTTATTTTGATTTGTTCAAACCCTTTCCTACAACCTCACTAAATTCATCTAGGGTACCACATTTCAGATCGTCAACTAAGATTGTTCAACTCTCGCGACAACTCGTACGAAATGTTTCACATGATAACCGCCAGAGATGTAGGTTGGAGCGTCCTAGACGTAGCCTTCAGTCCCAACGCTCAATTTTTTGTCTACTCCACTTGGTCCTCAAGCCTACATTTGTGCAACACTTTCGATAAACGCGAACAACCCGAACCTCTAGTCATAGCCAATACTAGTCGCAGATTTTGCCTGTTTTCTGTTGAATTTTCCAATGATGGCAAACAATTAATATGCGGCGCAAACGATGGCTGCTTATACGTCTACGATATCGAAAGAAGACGGAGGACTTTTAAAATAAGCAGTCACGAATCTGATTTGAATCGTGTCACATACGCTGATGAAGCTTCGCATATAATTTACACTGGAGGTGATGACGGTTTGGTTAAAATTTGGGATACTAGGACTTTAGATGAGAGAGATACCAAGCCTGTTGGTATTTTAGCTGGACATCAAGATGGTGTAACTTATATTGATTCAAGAGGGGATGGTAGACATTTGATAAGCAACAGCAAAGATCAGTCAATTAAGTTGTGGGATATCAGGTGCCTTTCTAACGATGCTACTGTCAGGGAGGCTTTGAAGGTTGTCAGAGATCAACCTTGGGATTATCGATGGCAAGGAGTACCAAGACACAGTAAGCAATTTGCTACTATTTACAGATTACTGATATTATTGTTGTAGTGTATGATTACAAAAAACTGGAAGGCGACACTTCAATAATGACTTATAAAGGCCATGTGGTTTCCAAAACATTGATTAGGGCTAAATTTTCTCCGGCAGCAACTACGGGGCAACGTTATATTTATTCTGGTTGCGGTTTTGGAAGACTTATGAGTAAGTGTTGATTGGTTTATGTCTCGTGCAAAAACTTGTTTTTTCAGTATACGATTCTTTGACTGGTAAAATTGTTAAACAACGAAAAGGACACATGTCTTGTGTCAGAGATGTGGCTTGGCATCCTACTAGGAATGAAATTTTAACTTCATCGGTAAGAATTGTTAATACAGTTTGAGTCAATCAATCTTTATTTTGTTCTTTAGTGGGATGGGATGGTAGGTAAATGGACCTATTGCAAAAAAAATCCCCATTATCACGACAAACAAGAGGATCTAGGGCGCATGCCTTTGCGCCGCAGTGCAAGGTTGGCGGCCAGACAACAAGAAGCGAGAGATTCGACGTAAAATTCGAATCACTTTTGTGATTTTACAAAACTATTTCTCATAACCAATATCATTGTTGATGGACAGTAATTGTAAATAAGTTTATAGTTTTCAGTTTGGAGCGAGTTTGGTATTTACATCTTGAAGACAAAATTAGGAGTTTTCAAGCGATTGACCAGTCTAGTCTTGACAGATAATAATGCATTTGACATTCAATTATTTATTGTTCATCTGTCAACTTTGATTGACCAATCAACGCTTGAAAACTTCTAAAGACAACACCTCTGTGAAATGTGTCATATATTTTTGCTCCATATGAACATCTTAGGAAAAAGATAATATTTTGACATTTCAGAGGTATTCAAGATACAGGATTTTCAGTAGAAATATCAAGAGTGCATAAGAAATTTCTAAAAATTTGTCAATCACGAGCCCGTAGGGCGAGGATTATTTTCTGTTACGTCATAATTTTGTTATGGAGTTTTGATATTTCTACTCATAATTAATTACCTGCCTGCTTGATATGACAGCTTGTCAAAGTCTTGCTGCATTTAACATCTTCTAAGGTTAATTGATTGACAAATGACGTTTTATTCATTGTTAATCTGTCAACTATAATTGACCAGTCGTGTCAAAAGTATCATATCTTTGCTCTATGAAAAAGATGATGTTTTGACATTTCAGGGGTATTCATAGTACAAGGTTTTTCCATAAGTTCAGATAATCCTCCTAGAGTAAAAAGATAACCTCATGTAACCGGTTTTGTAAATTCAGATAAAGGATCATGTGACTTTCTGTCAACAATGTCATATTTAAGCTCTCGGAGGATTACCCGAATTCACCTTGTCCTGATATTTATTACTTTTAAATTTGAATTTCCTTCAGACATTCCTATTGATATGACAGTTTGACAAAATCTTGCTGAATTTGACATTAATTCATTAACAAATGACGCTTTATTCATTGTTCATCTGTCAATTTTGATTGACCAATCAGCGCTTGAAAGCCTCTAAAGACAACACTTCTGCCAAATGTGTCATATTTTTGCTCCATATGAACATCTTAGGAAAAAGATAATATTTTGACATTTCAGAGGTATTCAAGGTACAGGATTTTCAGTAGAAATATCAAGAGTGCAAAAGTTTCTGAAAATTTGTCAAATCACGAGCCCACAGGGCGAGGGTTATTTTCTGTTGACGTCACAATTTTTTTATGGAATTATGATATTTCTTCTCATTATTTGCCTGCTTGATATGACAGCTTGTCAAAGTCTTGCTGCATTTAACATCTTCTAAGGTTAATTGATTGACAAATGACGTTTTATTCATTGTTAATCTGTCAACTATAATTGACCAGTCGTGTCAAAAGTATCATATCTTTGCTCTATGAAAAAGATGATGTTTTGACATTTCAGAGGTATTCATAGTACGAGGTTTTTCCATAAGTTCAGATAATCCTCCTAGAGCAAAAAGATAACCTCATGTAACCGGTTTTGTAAATTCAGATAAAGGATCATGTGACTTTCTGTCAACAATGTCATATTTAAGCTCTCGGAGGATTACCCGAATTCACCTTGCCCTGATATTTATTAGGTACTTTTAAATTTGAATTTCCTTCAGACATTCCTATTGATATGACAGTTTGACAAAATCTTGCTGAATTTGACATTAATTCATTAACAAATGACGCTTTATTTATTGTTCACTTTTCAATTCTGATTGACCAATCAAACGCTTGAAAACTTCTAAAGACAACACCTCTGTCAAACGTGTCATATTTTTGCTCCATATGAACATCTTAGGAAAAAGATAATATTTTGACATTTCAGAGGTATTCAAGGTACAGGATTTTCAGTAGAAATATCAAGAGTGCAAAAGTTTCTGAAAATTTGTTAAATCACGAGCCCGCAGGGCGAGGGTTATTTTCTGTTGACGTCACAATTTTTTTATGGAATTTTGATATTTCTTCTCATTACTTGCCTGCTTGATATGACAGCTTGTCAAAGTCTTGCTGCATTTAACATCTTCTGATGGCGTTTCCGATTGGTAAATTTAGTGCGCACTGAGTGTATTTGCATCCTTTCAATCGACCTGTAGAAGAAAAAGACAGAAATAGAAAAAATTGCACTAGTTCCGCACTAAATCTACCAATCGGAAACGCCATGAGATTAATTGATTAACTAATGATGTTTTTTTTATTGTTAATCTGTCAACTATGATTGACCAGTCGTGTCAAAAGTGTCATATCTTTGCTCTATGAAAAAGATGATGTTTTGACATTTCAGAGGTATTCATGGTACAAGGTTTTTCCATAAGTAGAGTTCAGATAATCCTCCTGGAGTAAAAAGATAACAACCCCATGTAACCGGTTTTGTAACTTCAGATAAAGGATCATGTGACTTTCTGTCAACAATGTCATATTTAAGCTCTCCCTAAAATTCACCTTGCCCTGATATTTGTTACTTTTAAATTTGAATTTCCTTTTTTGCCTAAACAAGTCAATTTTCCAGAATTTCTTCTGGAGTGATTTTTCACTGGAAAATTTCGAAATTTTCCTATAATGATCTCCGCACTTTCCTCTTTCTCTTGGAAAAATTTCAAAATTTTTCCTTTCTCAGTTTTCCAGAAAAAAATTAAAATGTAAGAGGGTGAATTTTCTTTAATTTTACCTAAACAAGTCAATTTTCCAGAATTTCTCCTGGAGTGATTTTTCACTGGAAAATTTTGAAATTTTCCTATAATGATCTCCGCACTTTCCCCTTTCTCTTGGAAAAATTTCAAAATTTTTCCTTTCTCAGTTTTCCAGAAAAAAATTAAAATGTAAGAGGGTGAATTTTCTTTAATTTTGCCTAAACAAGTCAATTTTCCAGAATTTCTTCTGAAGTGATTTTTCACTGGAAAATTTCGAAATTTTCCTATAATGATCTCCGCACTTTCCTCTTTCTCTTGGAAAAATTTCAAAATTTTTCCTTTCTCAGTTTTCCAGAAAAAAATTAAAATGTAAGAGGGTGAATTTTCTTTAATTTTGCCTAAACAAGTCAATTTTCCAGAATTTCTTCTGGAGTGATTTTTCACTGGAAAATTTCGAAATTTTCCTATAATGATCTCCGCATTTTCCAAGAGAAAGAAGGAAAAATTTCAAAATTTTTCCTTTCTCAGTTTTCCAGAAAAAAATTAAAATGTAAGAGGGTGAATTTTCTTTAATTTTGCCTAAACAAGTCAATTTTCCAGAATTTCTTCTGGAGTGATTTTTCACTGGAAAATTTCGAAATTTTCCTATAATGATCTCCGCACTTTCCTCTTTCTCTTGGAAAAATTTCAAAATTTTTCCTTTCTCAGTTTTCCAGAAAAAAATTAAAATGTAAGAGGGTGAATTTTCTTTAATTTTACCTAAACAAGTCAATTTTCCAGAATTTCTCCTGGAGTGATTTTTCACTGGAAAATTTTGAAATTTTCCTATAATAATCTCCTCACTTTCCTCTTTGTCCTGAAAAAATTTCAAAATTTTCCAGAATTTTTCCTGAAGTGATTTTTTATTGGAAATTTTTGAAATTTTGTTAAAATGAGCTGAGAAAGAGGAAGGTAACTCTTTCTCCTGAAAAAATTTCAAAATTTTCTCTTCTCAGTTTTCCAAAGAAAAATTAAAATGTAAGAGGAGGATTTTTCCTTAATTTTGCCTAAACAAGTCAATTTTCCAGAATTTTTCCTGGAGTGATTTTTTATTGGAAAATTTTGAAACACTGTTAAAATGAGGTCTTCATTTTCCTCTTTCTCCTGGAAAAATTTCAAAATTTTCACTTTCTCAGTTTACACCTCACAAAATGGAAAATCGAAATTTTCCGAATTTTGGAAAAACAAAAATTCCATCACATAGAGGAAGTTAAAACAAACAAAAGCTATTTGGCATTTTTCCGTAAGACGTCTCCTAAGCCTAGAAAAAAATAAAAAATAAAATCCATATGGGGGAGGGACATGGTCCTATTAAATCTGTTATAACTCTGAAACTTTTGGACCGATTTCAATGAATTATGTTTCATTCGATAGAGGATTAAATTTCCTACAAAATGACTTCAACCAAAATTTCCAAAATTATCCCATTTTCAAACTATGAGCCTTCAAAGTTGAAATTTTCTCAATTTTTCAAATTTAATGAAAAAAAGTATATTTCTTAGGGAAAATTTAAAAAAAAATCGATTTATGGAATCGTTGAGGTTCCTTTTATAATTTAATTAAAGAAAAATTTGCAAATTTCCATTTTAATTTTTTGAGGGAATTTTTTCATTAAGGTTTGGTCCATGTTTTTTGGATTTTGAAGTTTCGAACTGCCATAACTGGAAAATTATGAGTCGTAGAGAAAAACTTTTCATATAAAAATTGTAGCTCTCAATGTATACTACAAAATTGCTATTTGAGTGTTTCCTCTACGACTTACTGTTTTTGAGTTATTTGAGTTTAAAGTTTTAATTGAAATTTCAAATTTGAGGCTCAATAACTCTGGAACAGTAATAATTATTGATATTGAAAATAAGATCATTTTGTAGGTAATTCAATCCTCTTTATTCACTCAAATCAATCCAGGCGTTGAAGAGTTATGGCTGATTTAGTGAGGCCATGTTTACCATTATTTAATTTTCAAAAATCCAGCTCGCCTGGGCCTTTATTCTTGACTTTACCTAGGTAGAAAATTTGACATTGTTAACAGTTAATGCACTGTTTAACTGTCAACACAGTCAAATTTTCTCTCGAGAGAAAGTCAAGAATAAGACCTCTGGGATTCTGTGCGGGATAGGGGTTTGCTATCATACATTCTGTCTGCGTTTCTCTTATTGAAATCAATAGAGAGAAAGCGAGAATAAAGATAGAGATTTTAATCGGTATTCGTTACAGAGTCTCAGCCCAAAGGTACCTACAGGCAATTATTGTTGGGATAGAACGGGGACTCTCTATTTTGGTTCTCATCTCTTTTCCATTGATTTCGATCAGAGAAATAAAGACAGAGAATGTCAAAGACTTTTGTAATGATAAACTGAATCTTAAAACATTAACTCAATCTCTTTGAAACTTTACTTGGTTTTAGAATGTTCTAAAGCATTCTAACATGTATGTACATTTTTATTTACTAGTTTTCTACACTTGATGAAGTAGAGGGGGACATAGATGTAAGTTCCAAACTTGTTCTGTATATTTTTGTATTGGAACATCGATTTTAGTTTATTTTCTCAATAATGTCAATATCATTACTGTTCTTCAACAATGAGAATAAAATAGTTTTTTGAAAAAGTCTGGCAAATGTAAATACCATACTGTATGTTAATATCAGAGCTAAGAAATTTTTTTGGTGATATCTTATTAGTGATAGGCATAGTTGATTTTGAGAAACTCGCACATAATATATTATTTTTTCGTTTTGTTTTCCTTTTGAAACTGAATTTCGTCCTTGTTTTTAGTTTATAGAAGATTTCCTTGGTATAATTTCTGTTTTGCATTGACTTCCGTTTTGGGCTTTCAAATATTTATTAGGTCTGTTTCTGCAATCTGCATCTGCAAATTCAATCTGACTGGTTTGAGATTTCTGCAGAAACATACCTATTATTAAAGACTGATGTGCATCACAACAAAACAACTATTACGTCTGGGGTTTTAGTGTATTGTTTTCCGTTTTTTTGCTAAACATTGAAATGTAATTTATTCTTATAAGTTATACATTAATCATTTGAAAAAAATAAAGACATTTTTGTTATAATATATTTTGTTAAAAATAATATCGACACCCTCCTGATCTCTTGTTCATTTCCGCTAAAGTATAAGCCAAATCGTCAAAGTACCTTGCGGAAGTGTGACTAACTATGATTTCGTAACAAGGTTGCAAAGCTGTTTCCGTTATGGCGTAGTCCAAAAAGGCTTTAAGTTTCTTGATTTGTCTAGAAGATGGGGCAACGTTGTGTTCCTCTATATATAAAAAAAAAATCTATTAGTAATTTTCATTATATTATTGGAATAGAATTTTACCTAAAACTCCAATAGTTAACAAATTGCCGCACCCAGCCTGTTGTCCGCAATCACTCTGATAGTTCCAGCCTCTACCTTCAAACACTCTTCCAGGTTTGTCCTGGTAAAAATTATATAAAACTTGTCCGCTGAAAATTTTGATTTTTTTTTTGTTTTCGTCGTTGTACTCTCGATACTCTAAACAATGTTGGGCGTCGGTGCAATTGGTGAAAAGTTCTAAAAGTAGTACTTTTGAAACAGGCTTTTCTAGAGATGGAGCTCCAGCTACATAACTGCCGTTTACACCCCAAGTTTCACGAGCTATGTAGTCGAATTCTTCGATTATTGCACCTTCGTCTGAAACAAAAATAATTGGTTTTCATCATGTGGTAAGTTTGACAATAGATCTAGTCTGATAAATCCGAGACAATTTTCTTACCTTGAGCCAACAACAAATATAACCCAATCCCAGTAGCGGAAATTAGAATAAAAGCAAACATAATCAGCAAAGCCGTGTCGTAGATCCTAAAGTGCCTATTCAAGCTGGAATTGCTAACCAAAAGTGGTGTAGACTCGTGGGAAAATTCTGTTATGTTCCTTATTTGTCTACAACTAGGGCACTCATTGCAGTTTGTTCTCATTGGCCTTATTACTACAATGACATTGGAGGTTGATTTATATAGTAAATTAAAAATTGTTCTTACATCGATCCAATGACAAACTTCTTTTATTGTAAGTCAATTTTTCGGTTTTTGTAGCACTATTATTGTCCATATTCACTGTAGTAGTAGTAGTGGTGTTCATATTTTTTGATTGACAATATTTTAATAATATTGCATTTCTGATGCTGATTCACTTTATCATAGATACACAAAACATTATAAATTTGATAACAAAAATAAAGCCTGAGAATTTTCGATGTTTATTTTAAGTATAATGATTGTTTATTTATAAAAGTGGCTAATTTTCCTCGCATTATATTGAGTACTTAGTCTTTGTTCAAATAATGATTAGAGAATTTATGCGCAACATTATTTAAAGTGTTGCTAGTAAAAATAAACAAATTAAGTAGTACCTATTTGTTTATTTGGCTTTGAGAATTTTTTCATTTGCGGTCTTTGTATATGAAATTTATAATAATTAGCTTTTCTTTGAAATCAGTAAGTACCTAACCATATGGAAAAATAAAACGAAACATTTTAATTAAAAAAATAATGTTTAATCAAACAAAACTTAATATTAAACTTAGTAAATTATTGTTTTACAATGCAAAATAATTAAAACATTTATGTGATGATACTAGCGGCAATCTTAATGTAGTATTTATTATTTATTAACAAATAAAATATAATATATTAACTTATACTATAAAATTAGAATAAGGCAAGATAGCTATAATAACCATTACACAAAAAAAAATATTAATAATTACAATATAAACGGTTCAAAATCTGAATCATAATAAATAGAATTATATTTTAGTGACGTCAATAAGTTTGTAGATTCTGACATCACTGAAATATAATTCTATTGGTTTCTTTTTAATAGTAGGTAATAACAATAACTTTACTTTCAAGACCAGGTTTATTGATCTTCAGATAAACTTGCTGGTAACTATCTGCAAGATAAGTTTACTGCTCTATAATTCTATTGGTCGACGGATAATTGGCCGACCAATGGGATTACAGATTGCATTAGCTGACAGTTTATCAGAGGATGAATAAACCGGCCCTAAATCCTTTTCGTTTGACATAAAAACTTATATTTTACCCTGATGAAGACCGGAAGTCAAAACGTTGCTTTTTCTACTGTGTACATTATTGATACCTACTACTACTAAAAATAAAAATGTATCGCAGTCATTTTTTTCCTATAAAAATTCCCCCTAAACCTAACCTCAAATATTCTCAATCGACTTCGAGCTTCCGGAAACTCCCTACTAAATTCGCCTGTTGCTGGTTCATCAATTCTTTATTTTTCGAGCAAATGATGCCTCGGTCGCTGAGCAGCTCGATATCGTCGATGGCCAGTAAGCGTTTTCTTTTGTCGTCCAATTCGTTTTGCCAGGCCTGGATCATGGTTTTTGAAGAAATCGCCCCACCATCCATTTCTTTCGGCAAACATCTCGGGTCGAGTTTTTCGAACAGGTTTTGAATAGAGTCGTGCACCTGGAATAGAGTTATTAGTGGGATTTGGTTCAGGAGCGCGTGATCACTTTTGAAACTTCAAATCGAAGATCACGTGGGCTTCTGCCAACAGTGTCATTTTTCAGCTCGTGGAGGATTGAAGAAATCGTCTATAGTAGAGTAGAAGCCGCCAAGTGGTCACTGTCAAAATATTGATATTTGACAGATGACAGACGATGTTTTTTTTTTTTGAATGGAAATGACACAAATTTTGAAGGTCATTGGACAGCTTCCCAAACTCTCAAAACAATAACATTTGACAGATGACATACATTATATGAAGCCAATGAACTATAGCTAAAAACTGGAATGTGCACACATTGCCATATCTGCCAAAAAAATGAAGCCATGAAAGACAGATGCCACAACGGGGAATGTTGTTCTTTTCTGTTGCTCGCTGACATATGACGTTTTCGAAAGTTTTGTCATATTTCCCTTCACAGGTTTCATCGATTGGAATACGTGTTGGAAGCAATTTTCGCCATTTAACATAATGAGTGCGACAAAAACAGGTATCCCCTCCGCAGCAGCCGCACTAGGCCTCAGGTTCGTCCTTATGTGTTCGCATTCCAGTTTTTGGTTATAGTTCATTGTATGAAGCTTATGGTGGCTTATGGCTGAAGACACCAGGCACAAGTGACAGATACAAAAAACCAAAAAATCGAAATTTTGTATCTTGGCGTGGCAAGTAAATTGTATCCTGTATCAATTTATTCTGAATTATAGCATTGATATACGTCGCTTGTACTTAGTATTTGTTATTATGTCTTCGGTCTAATGGATATTAAGATCGTCTATAACTGTCAAAACGATGATATTGGACAGATGTCAATATTTCTGTAAGCTCATTTGACATCCAACTACCGAATACAATTTTGACAGCTGTTGCAAATTGTCTAATTCAAGAGCGACGATTTTTTGTATGAAAGTGACACAAAGGACCCCGCAATTTAAACGGAAATTGGTTAGTTACCCGTGATATTTGGATGAACTTTTAATAAGTCGACCAAGGAAAACGAAAAATATCAACCATTTTGACATCTGTCAAAATTCAACTTTGACACCGTGGGCATAAAACTTGAAGACCATAAAGTTACTTTCACATTAAATTCCAATTTGAATTGAAATTGAATGTAAACGTGCCTTTACGGTTGTCAAGTGTGCTATTACCCACGGCGCCATATTGAATATACAGAATGTCAAATCCCTCTATTGCTCAATCGTTTCCGGTTGGTAGAATTAGTACAAAGAAAATGTATTTCTATCTCTTTCTTTAACAGGCTGAGAGAACGAGATGGAAATACACTCTAGGTAGCAATAAAGGCTGTTTAAAAGAGGTAATTGTCTGATAACTTTTATGACGTCATCTGGGGTGTCCAAACACAGCAAACATAATGCAAATTTCCATTAGGCACCCCAGATGACGCCATCTGTTTTCCATTACCAGACAACCTATAAACTTTAGGAACCTTGGGTAGTAATCGGAAAAGCTATTAAATTGTGCAACAGGGCGATTTGACGTGCTTTGAATTTATTAATATTCAATATGGCGCCGTGGGCATAACAAACATGAAGACCGTAAAGGTACGTTTATATTCAATTTCAAGTCAAATTACAATCAATGTAAAGATACTTTCGTGATATTCAAGTTTGTTCTGCCCACGCCGCCATATTGAATATTAATAAATTGTTAGAACGTCAAATCGTCTAATTTTGACACTCATATGCACCGTATGAACTCGGAAATCCAATATCGAATGACACACATTTTGAAGCTGGATGGAAATTAGAGCTTTTCTAAATGTTGACTTCTGACATATGAAATTTTTTTTACAAGCATTAGACATTTATCTATGAAATTCAATTTTGACAGCTGGTGGAAATCAGTCGATTTAACATTTTGTCAATTTATTAATATTCAATATGGCGCCGTGGGCGTAACAAACTTGAAGACCGTGAAGGTACGTTCACATTCAATTCCAATTGATTGAATTTTGAATTGGAATGAAATTGAATCTAAACTGTAAACGTACCCTTACGGTTGTCAAGTTCGTTATGCCTACGGCGCCTTATTGAATATTATTAAGTTCACTGAACGTCAAATCGCCCTATTGCTTAATTTAATAACGTTTCCGGTTGGTAGAATTGATACAAAGAAAATGTATTTCCATCTCTTTCTTCAACGGGCTGAGAAAACGAGATGGAAAAAAGGTAATTGCCTGATAACTTTTATGACGTCATTTGGGGTGTCCAAACACAGAAAACATAATGCAAATTTCCATAAGGAACCCCAGATGACGTTATATGTTTCCAACCTATTAACTTTTGGAACTTTGGGTAGCAATTGGAAACGCTATTATATTGAGCAATAGGACGATTAAACATTCTGTGAATTTATTAATATTCAATATGGCGCCGTGGGCATGATAGCAAACTTGACAACCGTTAAGGTACCTTTACATTCAATTCCAATTCAAATTGCAATCAATGTAAACGTATTTCCGCGATCTCTAAGTTTGTTATGCCCACGGCGCCATATTGAATATTAATAAATAGATCTAACGTCAAATCGTCTTATTTTGAATGACACACATTTTGAATTGTTGAAATTGGTAGAAATTAGAACTTCTCTATGTCTAAATAGTGACATTTGACATATAAATCATTTTCACAAGCTCATTAGAAATTCATCTATCAAATTCAATTTTTGACAGCTGGTAAATATTAGGTGATTTAACATTTTGTTAATTCATTAATATTCAATATGGCGCCCTCGGCGCGAAAAACTTGAAGACCGTGAAAGTACGTTTACATTCAATTCCAATTGATTGCAATTTACGTACCTTCATGGCTGTCAAGTTTGTTATGTCCACAGCGCCATATTGAATATCAATAAATTCATAAAACGTCAAATCAATAATTTGATAGCGTTTCTGGTTGGTAGAATTAGTGCAAAGAAAATGTATGTATTGTCATCTCTTTTTTTAGCAGACTAAAAGAAAGAGATGAGAATACACTCAGAGCACATGAAATCCAGGTAAGGTACCTTCACGGTCTTCAAGTTTGTTATGTACAGGACGCCATATTGAATATTAATGAATTGACAGACGTCAAATCGCCTAATTTTGAATGACACAAATCTTAAAGCTTGATGGAAGTTACTCTAAATGTCAAAATAGTGACATCTGACAAATGATATCTTTTTACAAGCTCATTAGGCATTCATCTATCAAATTCAATTTTGACTACTAGTGAAAATTAGGCGATTTAAGTTGGGTTCGGTAATTGCATCCACGAGCAAAATTTGACAGATGTTATTTGAATCGGCACGTGAAAAAAGATGAGTGATCACGTGACGTCCGTCAAAATTTGCTCTTAGAGCGAATTCTTATGAGCGTAAGTTGACATTTCTGGCGTAATCACGTGATAAAATGGTTGGGTTTTATTGGAGACATATTTGACAAGTTGGATATTTTGCCAATCAAATTACACCATATTATCACGTGATTACGCCAGAAATGTCAACTTACGCTCATGAGAATTCGCCCTTATTGTTCGCAGATTACTAAATCTATTTCAAGTAAAGTTAGATTTGACGCTCGGAACTGCTTATTGTTTTTTATCTCTGTTCTTCTCATCGAAAAAAAAAAAGATGAAAGATGCTCCGAGCGGTCAGTATTTCAAGACGAACGTTTTTGGTTGCTAGAATTAACACAGGAATTCGACAAAGAAAAAATATTTTCGTCTCTTTTTTAAACACGCTGAGAGAAAAAGATGGAAATACACTCAGTGCGCATTAAATCTGTAATAGGGCGATTTGACGTACTGTAGGTTTATTAATATTCAATATGGCGTCGTTGGCATAACAATTAATTTCATTGTAGTCTTCAGTGATCATGATCTTGATCTAAAACTGAATTTTCGCGACGAATGTAGTTCACCAATAGTTCATCCAAGGACGAACCATAGTTCGTCTTGTGACGTCATGAGTTTGAACTCTGGCTTGAAGTTGTGCCATGCTTCCGGTGAACTACGTTCAATATGACGTCATGAGTTTATCGCGAAAGCCCTTGTTCATGTTTGTCGTAAAAATTCGGTTTTTGAGACCCATTATAGGGCCTTACGGAAACGCTGATCCGATTAACCGGATCACAGGTTATTTGTTTTTCATCTTTATTTAATGAACAGAATTGAAGAAGGACAAAATACTTCAGCTGGTGATCGGGTTAATCGGATCAGAACTTCAGAATCTGCAGAGATCTAAAATCAACTCTACGGAGAATTCAAAAACTAAGTTAAAGAAAAACCACATTCCAATGTTTTCCAAACAAATTATTCTTACCATGAACCGTTCCTTCAATTTCTGACTCATATGAGTCTTGGCAAAATCAAAAACATACTTGAGAGCTTGAGGCATGTTCAAAATATGAATCTCTTTGTGACGCATCGGAAAAGATTGCTGAAAAATAAAAATTTTAATTACCTTTTAAGCAATCGTAAATTATTAAATATTGCCCAAAAGCCAAACACGTGAAACACGCACCACACAAGTAATTCTTACAAAGGAAAGTATGTCAGATTTCAGTTTCGGTACCGCATCAGCCATTATATAACCGAAAAATGTGTGTGGTAAGTGCACGCGCAAACAAAGCTGGCCTAAAATTTGACCGCGAGAAGAAGGTGCGTATTAACCTTGTAGAAAATTACTTGTTATGTCATTATATGGTTTGGTAATCGATAGTTTACTCACTTCTCCCCATCTGATTAAAACGGCAAAATCGGTAACAGAGAATAATGTTAGAAATGAGGCATTTACTCCACTTATGTCGGCGACATGAGTCAAACCTAAAATCTGATTTTCTTCGTTTGATATAAGGGTTTCGTAGGTTATTGCGTGAGCTCGGGCCATGTCTGTGCCTGTATGTTTTTTTGGATCAAATTTACCTAAAAGAAATTGTTTATTAATAATAATAAAAAAAATATCAATATTACTTACTTAGATCATAAATTACCACTCTTCGTCCTTTATTGTCTCTCAAAGGACTGACATAAATGTATCTGAAAAAAAATTATTTTGTTGTGCAAATTGTATAAACCCTAAGCGCCTATGTAATTATTCCATAAGGTGCATTTATGATTCGGACAAATTGCACTAAATTGCTTACCCATTGGAAATGAGTTCGTTAACTTTCGTTTCGCTATAGTCCATTTCCAAAAAAATATGTGGGAATCTTTTTCTGTAATTGAGATATTTCAAAAGAGTTTGTTGAGCCATTGGAATGCTGAACTTTTTCACTCGGAGAAAGCGCAAGAGGAAGCTGTCATCTAAAATACATTTTCTGATGTCCTCGTTCTGAGCAATCCATAGTTTGAATTGTCTCAAGCATTCTTGTTTGGAGTGTTCGGTTTCTCTGAGTTCTTGTTCGGCAATTTTCGCTAGTTCTTTTTTTAGTAGCGCCTGTTGCTTTTTCAGCACGTCATTTTCGTAGTCGGCCAAGTCTGGTTCAGATTTCGACCATTGCGGTGTGGAAATTATCAATTGAGTCATGATGAAGGGTGATCTGGAATCATGGGAGAAAAGTGATAATGTGGCAACATTGTTGTAAATTCATCTGACATCTTTTTCAAACAGAAATTGTGTGATTTTACTAGACAACCGTCTTTTTAGTTTTAAATTTTTAAGAAAAAGTTTATTTTAACTACTTAAGAAAGTGTCTAGCTATCTTTGTTTAGTGAATGGATAATTGACAAGGACTCACATTGAATGATGGATCTATCGGTAAAATTTTACTTGGAGAATAGAAACGCAGGGTACTTTGTTTGACAGTTGACACATAAACAATGTTTAGAACGTTTTCTGTCAAAAAATTCGTACTGAGCAAATGACTTGTACTGAGTGCAATCAAATGCAATTGACATAAAATTGTCAATTTTCTAATTTCAAAATGGAAAATTTGTTTACGCCATAGGTCATATCTAGCTATCAGTGTTGCCAACTGCGGATCAACTATTATAGTATAGAACGCTATAAAATTATAGTAAAGGACCCCGCACATTTCTTATGGAAAAGTGATCTATGTGGAATTTTGCTGAATTTTTGATATTGTGTATAGGGAGTCGTCCTTAACAAAAGTGATCATTGCGCTAATGTTCAATACCCAACAGTTTTCAAGATATCAATTAAAAACTTTTTTAATATCATGATAATCTTCAGTATGACGTCACCAGTATGCTCACAGCACCGAAAATTATAACTATCCTTTTCACTTTTGACTTTAACTATACTTATACTCTTCTCCTTTTAACATTTAGGAAATAAAAAAAACAACAACAGGTACAAATGAAATCGCTATATGACAGACATCATGACATGAAGTTGACGATTGCGGCAGGAGCTACAGTGGCTAAATAAACCTTTACATACAGTGGCGACAATAGAGGTCCCGCCGCCATCTTGTTCCCAACCTCTTGTTACTTTTAAATATTGATATATAAGATTTAAATGGACATCTATCATAAAAAATTGAAATCGACATATTTGATGACCATTATAAGGTCTATCAAATACATTGTTTTCCCTGTTTTATGATGGATATTCACCTAAATCCCATATATTCATATTTGAAATAAGCAATAGGTGGGAACAAGATGGCGGCGTTTTCAATATAAATATATGGGATTTTAGAACCAATCAAAAATAAGACAGCAATTGTCGCCACTGTGGGTAATAGAGTCACTGTAGCAGGAGCTAGGTGTTGTTTACATACCTACTTATTTGTCACTAATCGCTATCGCTATCTTTTTTTTCTTATTGTTAAAAGGAGAAGAGTAATGTCAAAGTCAAAAGTGGAAAGGATAGTAATAATTTTCGTTGCTGTGAGCATACTGGTGACGTCATACTGAAGAGTATCATATTAAAAAAGTTTTTAATTGATATCTTGAAAACTGTTGGGTATTGAACATTAGCGCAATGATCACTTTTGTTAAGGACGACTCCCTATACACAATATCAAAAATTCAGCAAAATTCCACATAGATCACTTTTCCATAAGAAATGTGCGGGGTCCTTTGTACAAATTATTATAGTATCCTGCTGGAGACAGATGACCACCAATTGTCCTGGTGGGACACACAGAGATCGAACTATTATGAAATTTTCTGAACAAAACGAGAAAAGTCAGGGGCGTATCATACTAAAATTTCAAATTTTTCCAGTGAAAAATAACTCCATTGGAAATTAATGAAAATCAACTAAATTAGACATAAATGCACCATTTAACATTTTATTTTTTTTCTAGAAAACTATCCAGGGGAAAATTATGAAATTTTCTGGAAAAAAAAGAAAAGTCAGGGACGTATCATAGAAATAGTGACCGATGGGCCGGTTAGAGAGTTATTAATACCAGTTGGGTGTCTGTCGTCTTCAATGTACCTTTCCCAAACATTGTTTTTCTCTTTGCTGTCGAGGACTATTTGATAGTTCTGTGTGTCACATTCAAGATTTGATCTGTAATGTTACCACGAATACTATGATGTGATATTTGTAGGTACTAAAATCAAATGGACTTAAAGTCTGTTTTTTTTTTAAAGATAATTCCCCAAGTCAAAAATTTAGTAACTATGTTGGCAAGACAAGCCTTTTCTACATAAAAAATTTGAAAGCATTGACAATTTTACAATGTATTACCAACATAATGTCATTTTGACTTTTATCTTTAAAAAAAAAAACAGCATTTATTATAAGTATTGAAAATTTCAAAGGATTTCAATCGCTCTGGAAAAATTTATGAATGTTGGAAATTTGACAAAATTATAAGGTTTTTTTTCAAATCATTTTGCTCCATTAATGTTATCTACAAATATTAATAAATAAAAGCTTTTTTAAGCTGATTATTCAAATTTATTGCGAAATCTGGTAGAAGTGAACGACAATACATAATACATAATAAAATCGTGATAATATAAATGCAGTTTATTATGTCAAAATAGTGAAAGCTCTTTGCAACTTGCAACAGTAAAATTGCAATTAAATGTAGATACAAAATTAACGACCACAGACAAAAAATGCTAATTTTATATTTCCCTTATAATTACATTCAAAAGATAATAATCTATCATTAAAACCAATACAATTTTTAATTAAAAATCGGAAAAATATTGAAAATGTTTAAATATTTTTTTTCTAATTTGATCAATTTCGAGACGAAATAACTAGGTATATAAGTGGTACATGAAAAAGCGATTTTCTCAATACATAATTAAAAAATTCAAAACAAAATTCTCACCTAATTGTTTTGATAGTTATTTATAGATATTATTTTACAGCAAATTAGATGGTATTTTTCACAATATTTGATTCAAAAGCCTGGAATTGAAATAGGAAAAATACGATATTTTCCCAGTCGCTTAAAAATATTCATCAAAGAAATGGTTTATTATTTTTTTTAAATAGCACTTCATTACCCAGAAGGAAAACAGTATGTAGTTGAAAATGCTTTTTTCCTAAGAAAAGAGAAACTGTATAAAAAATGAGCTTTTATATGCCTTATTGCGAAAAGTTACTCTAATTTCCTAAAATGTATGTAGTAGAGAGAAATATTGTAAAAAATGTCATAATAATGCGTTACATTATATTTTTTTTAAAAATTAACTTTATTCTTTATTCAGGTGAAAATATAAAAATCATGTAATTTCCGTTAATTATAAGCAATAACTCAAGGTCCAATTTTTCCATCATCATCATCATCATCATCAACATACCACACAGCATCTTATGCAATCAATTTCCATTTTAAAATCTTAAGTAGGGCAACGATAAGTTCACTAACATTTCTTTCATTAGCCTTGACATTGGACTTTCACTATATAAATAATTAACCTTTATATAACAATAAAATGCTGGTCAGCAGCAGCGAATAATTTTGTTTCCTGATGTTTGTTTTTATTAACATTTTGCTGGAAATTTTAAAATCTAGTTCAGTATTACTTATAGATAAATAATAATTATATTGTATTGTCATTACTTATGTATAGCTATTGTTAAATTTTCCCCCCAATAAATTATTGTTTATTATACTATCGCAATATAATTGCTCAATGATAATTAATAAAGACGTTCGTGCACACTATTTACTAATACGGTTCGGTACGCTCATATGTAATACGAATCGATATATTTTGAAAAAAGCGAAAAGAGAATTTTCCATTCCCAACCTGACCCAATCTCAAATTACATAAATCTATAATTTATTTATGTGTATAGGTATTTAAACGCCGGAAAAATGAAATTATGATTTTGGCTTGTTATTAAAAAATTAGTTTCGGTCGATGCTCAAAGGTCATTTATTTTTGATACAATTTAACGATTTTATTGGCTCAAATTTCAAAAATTGTTTTGCCTCCAGAGGGCACTACAGTTGTGTGTCAATTGTCAACACACATCAATTGTCATTTCAGTTAAAACTAGTAGAGAAATTCAGCGCCGGTTCAAGGCTCTACCGGGCCCTAGGCGGCAGAAGGTATGAGGCCTTAGCCCAAAGTAACTTTTTACTGTTTTTGTCCAAATTGAAAAAAAAAAGCCTTTCAAAATGCTGCTGGCAAGTGTTTTGGAACGTTCTAAATGGCTTTTTGCAGTTCTAAAGTGTTCTAACTTGGCTTGAAGAGTTCTGGAGCATTCTAGAAATTTTTCAATAATTTCTAAATTGTTCTGACAGATTTTTAAGTATTTTAGAGCCCTATTGAAGCTCCAAAAAGTTCTAACTATAACTCTGAAGTTTGTCAATTGCTCCTGAAAATTCTGATTTAGATTTGAACTGTTTTAAATGCCTTCAAAGAGTTCTAAAGTTCTACAGCATTTAAAATTTGCTCTAAAAATTCTTCTGAAAGGCGTTTTGTAATTTTTAATTTGAATCCTAAGATTCTGGCGCTTTTCAAAATGTTTCTGGGGATTCCAGAATGTTTCAACCTTCTGAGTTGTTCTAAAATGCTTTTGGAAATCGGTGTTTGAATATTTTGGGGCATTCTAAAATCGTTTTGAAATTTCCAAAATTTTCTGAAGCGCTACAGAATGCTTTTGGAAATTCTGTCTGAATTTAATTTTAAATGTTTTGAGCTTTCCAAAAGGTCTATTAAAGTTCTAAAGTGTTCTGTAGCATTTTAAATGGTTTCCAGTAACTTCTAAATTAAATGAGAAACGAATTCTGTGGGAAATTTTTCCCAAAGACGTACCTACCTAAGATGTCCATAAACGACATTCAAGACGTCTTGCCTACGTCTCAAAGACATCTTGAAGACGTCGTAATATAACAAAACCCAACGTCTTCCAGAGATCTGCCTAGAGATGTCTTCAGCACTAAGACATTCTAAAGACTACTTCAAATCTTCAAAGAGATGTCTCAGAGACGTTATTGAATCTCTTTTCAAAACATAAATCATTATTCACTTCTAGGCTTGAAGAAGAGAAAGATATGGATTTACGACATTTTATATGGACATCTTCAAAACAACGTCTTCTAGGCGTCTTTTTTTGGTCTTCAGACGTTCAGCCGTAATCGTAATACAA